CACACACACACACACACACACACACACATACACACACACACACACACACACACACACACACACACACACACTATTATGTATGTTTATTGCTGTCTGTATTACAACTTCTTCGTCCACACTTTTATGTCTATAATGTTCGCTGCCTTTTCCCATATTCACATACTTGTGGTTCACTACTGCGTGCCATATCAGTGTCCACCGCTGCTGTTTGTTGTCGTTCTGGCTCGCAGCAGTGAACCGCCATCTGTCCCTGCGTCTTTCCCTGTCCAACAGCATAAGGTGCACTACTGCGGGCCAATATCTGTCTCGCATGAGATGTTTGTTGGAGTTCTGGCCCGCAGTAGTGAACCTCTCGCTGGTGCTGCATCTTTGCGTTTCCAACTACTTGTGGTTCACTACTGCGTGCCATATCAGTGTCCACCGCTGCTATTTGTTGTCGTTCTGACCCGCAGTAGTGAACCGCCATCTGTCGCTGCGTCTTTCCCTGTCCACCAGCATAAGGTTTACTACTGCAGGCCAATGTATGTCTCGCATGACATGTTTGTTGGAGTTCTAGCCCGCAGTAGTGAACGTCTCGCTGGTGCTGCGTCTTTGCGTTTCCAACTACTTGTGGTTCACTACTGCGTGCCATATCAGTGTCCACCGCTGCTGTTAGTTGTCGTTCTGTCCTGCAGTAGTGAACCGTCATCTGTCGCTGCGTCTTTTCCTATCCAACAGCATAAGGTTCACTACTGTGGGCCAATGTCTGTCTCACATGACATGTTTGTTGGAGTTCTGGCCCACGGTAGTGAACCTCTCGTTGGTGCTGCGTCTTTGCATTTCCAACTACTTGTGGTTCACTATTGCGTGCCATATCAGTGTCCACCGCTACTGTTTGTTGTCGTTCTTGCCCGCAGTAGTGAACCGCTCTTTGTCGTTGTGTCTTTCCCTGTCCAACAGCATGAGGTTCACTACTGCGGGCCAATTTCTGTCTCGCATGAGATGTTTGTTGGAGTTCTGGCCCGCAGTAGTGAACCTCTCTCTCTCTCTCTCTCTCTCTCTCTCTCTCTCTCTCTCTCTCACACACACACACACACACACACACACACACACACACACACACACAC